TATTTTCTGTTATCTCCCCCTATTCTGGTACTCCAATCACTTGTAGGTTATTTCTCTTGATAGAGTCCCATATAATTAGAGTTTCTTCATTCTTTAAAATTCTTTTATCTGATTTTTCCTCAAATAAGTTGGTGTCAAGTGCTTTAACTTCATTCTCACTAATTCTGATTTCTATTGCCTCAATTTTGCTCCTATGACTTTCTATTGAGTAGTCTTTTTCTAAAATTTTATTGTTAATCTTCTGGATTTCTGATTGCTGTCTATCTATGGATTCTTGCAGCCTATTAAATTTGTCAGTATGCTCTTGAATACCCTTCTGGAGAACCTCTATTGCTTTGTCTGTGTGTTCCTTAGCTTGTTCTGTGTTTTAACTCATTTCCTTCCTGATATCTTGAAGAGTTCTACATATCTAGCTTTTATATTCTGCCTCCAGTAATTCCAAGAAATTCTCTTCCTCCAGAAAATTTTTTGATTCTCTATATTGGGAGCTTGCTGAAGCCATCACGGTCTGTCTCTTTATGTGATTTGATGTTGACTGTTGTCTCCGAACCATCAAAAAGTTATTATATTTATTTATTTTATGTTTGCTTACTTTGTCCTAGCTTCTTGTTCTGTTTTGTTTTGATATGCCCAAATAGGCTGCTCTTGTGAGCTAATTTGATTATTGGCACCTTTGAAGCGCTAACATCCTGTCACCAGGTGGTTAGATTTGTTACTAAGAATGTGAGCACAGGATTCTGTTTACTTTTCTTGTATGGATTCAGCTCATGTGTCCAGGTAGTTGGTCACCAAGTGTGTGGTGGAGGCTCTCACCTACATCCTAGACTGGCAAAGGTGATTGGTGTAGGCACTGGTATCTGGCTGCAGTAGGGGGTCACGCACTGAGCAAGGCAGGGGGCTGATGGCTGCCGCTGAGTGTCTGGGAAGAAAGCATTTCCCTGTTCCCTAGAGCACATAGGTGGGTAGGTTTTGCAGCTGGACTATGAGCACCCAATGCTGTTGCCTGTAAGGAGTGGGGGGCACCACTTATTCTTGGGCCCCTGTCTCAGGTGGCTAGGTGGTGTGGGTGGAGTCACCAGTTCTCAGACCCCTGAAGTGGGTAAGTGATGACCCTGTTTAATGGGCAGAGCAGTGTCAAATGTCATGAACGTACCACTTCACTACTGAAACAGTTCAAGTTAGACTTTAGGTATATACCCTGCTGTATTGTGGTAATGAAGGCCTATGCCCTCAAAGACACTCAAAGTCCGTGGATCCCTTATGCCTCTGCCTAGGCAAAGGAGCTGTGCCTACCCTGAGTTCCTGGCTTAGGGGTGCTGGCAGATTATTTTTTCCCATTTGTTAATTTGTTCCCTCTCCAGGGCCAGGAGAATGGCTCAGCGTGCATAACGGGTCCTACTTCTGGCCCAGGGGACTCGGCAATTGCTGAAGCCATCCTGGACCCGATGCAGAGCAGGGAGTGGAAAGATAAATGGGAGAGAGGTTTTTCCCAGAGGGAGGTGTTTTTGATCCGCGTGGTAGGCCAATTGAGTGCTGCTTCTCACTGGTTCTGGACAGATGAGTAGACTCTCTGCCGCTGGGTCTCTCCAGATGTGGAAAACGCCTTCCCAGTGCCACAGCTTGCCTCACGGCGCACACAAGCTGATCCAGCCTAAAGGGCTCCAGTTCCTGCTGTATCAGGTCTGGCAACTCCTCGCTGCTTCCGAACTGTCTCTCCCTCCCCCTGCCACTCAGTCTGACTCCTCAACTTTGCCTTTGATGTTCAGGACTCCTAGACTGTCATATATAGTTGATTTACCTGTTTTTTCAGGTCTTTGTTGTAAGACAGACCACTGGAAGCATCTGAGTACTCTACCATCTTGGCCCTGCCTGGCATCTGGTGGTTTCGAACTACCAAACTTTCAGTTACCAGTTGATGGATTTAGCCACTGGGCAACCAGGCCTGCCTGATAGCACTTGTTAATTTAAACATTGCAAGTTTAAAAAAAATTAATGAATATATTCAATAAGTAATCTATTTTCTGATTAAAATTTTCGTGTGTGTGTTTTTTATCAAAGCATAAAATGAGATATAGTGTCACAGAATCATAAAACAGGTTGGAAGAGATCTCTAGAGCATCTAATGAAGCTTTCCTATTATATAACTAAGAAAACACCCAGAACGGTGCCACTATTTGCCCTAGATGACATATCTAGTTAATGGCTAAGCAGGTTTCCAGACTCCTGGTCTAGGACTCTTTTCAGTACATCCTACATAAATGATACATATTTACATAGGTCATTTTGTCAGCAATGCTTCATAAAAAATATCATCCACATATTTGAATACAAGCTGTCATCACTATCATCAGAGTCGGTGTCTTAGTCATCTAGTGCTGCTATAACAGAAATACCACAAGTGGATGGTTTTAACAAAGAGAAGTTTATTTCCTTACAGTAAAGTAGGCTAAAAGTCCAAATTCAGGGTGTCAGTTCCAGGGGAAGGCTTTCTCTCTGTGTCAGCCTTCTTATCATTGTTCCCCCAGACTAGGAGCTTCTCCACGCAGGGACCCCAGGTCCAAAGGACATTCTCTGCTCCTGGCACTGCTTTCTTGGTGGTATGAGGTCCCCCTTTTTCTCTGCTCACTTCTGTCTTTTGTATATCAAGAGACTGTCTCAGGACACAATCCAGTCTTGTAGATTGAGTCCTGCTTTACTAACACAACTGCCACCCATCCTCCCTCATTAACATCATAGAGGCAGGATTTACAACATACAGGAAAATCACACAGTACCAGGAATCATGGCCCAGCCAAACAGACACACACATTTTTTGGGGGACATAATTCAATCCATGACAGTCAGAGATCGCTGAGTTTGGCTGTAGCTGATGAGGGAATTGTTTTCTCCAAAATGTCTTCAGCAATTTCTACCTGCTATCCTTCTGAGGGAGCGCTGGTGGCACAGTGGTTAAGAGTGGTTAAGAGCTGGGCAGCTAACCAAAGGATCGGCAATTTGAATCCACCAGCTGCTCCTTGGAAACCCTATAGGGCAGGTCTACTCTGTCCTACAGGTTCGCTGTGAACCGGAATCCACTTGACAGCAATGGGTTTGGTTTTGGTTATCCTTCCAAAAAGCAGCCCTGATAACGCAGTGGCTAAACACTGGGCTGCTGGCTGCTAACTCAAAAGTCAGAGGTTGGAACAAGCATCTGCTCCACAGGAGCTTCCATAAAGATTAAAAAAAAAACAAAGCCCGTTGCCTGCAGTCATTCTGACTCAGCAACCCTATAGGACAGAGTAGAACTACCCCCTGCGGTTTCCAAGGAGCAGCTGATGGATTCAACTGGTGATCCTTTGGTTAGCAGCGGAGGGAGTTCTTTTTCATTTTTTATTGTTACTTTAAGTGAAAGTTTACAATTCAAGTTAGTCTCTCATACAAAAATTTATACATACATTGTTATGTGACCCTAATTGCTCTCCCTATACTGTGA